ATATGAGTAAACGAGATAAAGGGAAAGAATATGTAATTGGGTCTTTACTGGTGTAAAAAAAAGGAAGAAAATGCGGGAAATTGTAAATACGTAGTAATGCAAATGGCATTCTAACTCATAGGGTGAAAAGGGGAAAATAAAGAAAAAAAGCATTACATAATTTTATAATAAGAACAGCACATTTTACAACAGTGCGCTTAACTACAGCGATTAATTTATACTTCGTTAGGTATTGGGTTTTCTTTCTTTTTTTATTATGTATTTTTTGTGGTTCTGGTTTTTTCATTTCTTATGTTTTTTGGTGTTTTTCCTGTTCAGTAGTGAAAATTTCCGGTGTTTTCGTGCATTTGTGTGGTATGTGTGTTGTATATGCTTGTGTGGGTGTACAGATGCGTGCGTGTGTGTGCAGATGTGCGCTTGTGCATCGATCCTGCGGTCTTAAAATTTACTGGGCAATGCAAGGAGTGAGGTACAGATCACCGGAGCATTATAAATTTTTTGAAACAAGCAGTAACAAACTGCTGGTTCGCTCCGTACAGTACAACAGTTTTTATTAGCAGCACAAGCTTTTTACACCTTAGGGGTATTGACCTCTTGAAATTATTAAGCACCTGCTTTTTGTCATCACTGAGTTCTTTCGGATGAGAGACGAAACTCATTTGCCACTGATCATCGGTATTCTAAAAAGCTTCTCCTCCTTATTTTTTTTTTTTTTCACTTTTTACTTTTGAACCTTTTTTGAATTATTTTTTTCGGGCTCGTTCTACACGGCTTCATCCAAATTTTGCGCACTTTATCACAAATTCACACGTCTTCAATTAGATCCATCTCCATGGTCATCGCACCTCATCATTAAGTTTTGTTCCGATGCAGTTTTGTGCAATTTCCCAAAAAATTAATTTCAGCATCCCCGTATCAAGGCAAAACGAAACTGCTCTCTTTCCTCCGAGCTACTGCCGATAAATACTTACGGAACAAACTCTGTGATCAGATCAAAATGCGTGCTCTCTTTTATCCCTTTTTTCTATCTGTGCATTCTCCCACCCTTTCACTTAGCACAGTTACCCGTCTCGGCTGGCACGACATTACTTTAGGATGATACAATGAAGGTGAATATTACCACGATATTGCCCTTTAAGGGCATGATATTGCCC